GAAGCGGGGAAATTCCAATCCGCGCCCTCAGGAGTCATGCGAAAATCCCCCCTGCGAAATCTTCGCTGCCCCCGGGTTGCGGGAGCGGACGTCGAAAAAATCAACCCGGCTCAAGATCCTTGAGAGCCTCGTTTAACCCATCCCGTGTAATGCAACATCTGAAGCATCTCTCCGTGCATGACCCGGAGAACGAGCAGATAGTGCAACAGCTCGTGTATTAAATCTCTCGGTCGCGAGCGGCGGGCTAAAAATAGTCGGTTCGTCGATGCCTGCGTGTTCATATGGGGGCGCGCGGACGGATGGCGTGCGCGATGCTCCCTCAGCTACGCATAGCCGAGGTAAGGCGGTTACTGTCTCTTTTGTCTGAAGAGGTGCTACAAGATATTCGGCTGGCTGAAAGCTGAAATCTGACATTATCGGCTGCCGCCGCTGCCAGCATTCGAACAGGAGCGAGCAGTCCACCTCGCAGACAGCCGCTCGCCCAACGAGCACTCAATCTGCTTCTCGCGCGTATGCTCCAGCATGCTCTCCACGCAGGGGAGGATAATTCAATATTGCGTGAGGGCCACGCAAAAGATACCGGAGAGCTGTTGACTGCTGCGAGGATGGCGCTGGGCATGATGGCGAGCTCGACCCCTCATGTCGTTCATGGAATTCGCTCTGGCTCTTGAGAAACATCGAGGAATTATTCTACTGGAAAACGGTTGTTTTTCAGCTTCAAGAGAGGAAAAATTTATCGGACACCGCTAGACACAGCTTCGGAGCCTGCACTCCGCAGAGAACTCCGGGTGTCTCCAACGTGGCGGCATGCCATTGAAAACTCTCTCGGCCAGCGATTCCCGGACTCAAATATGTCGTGTCAGTCGGAGACTTTCAATGTGGCATCTGGAAACCTCACGGAATCGCACACTTCAATCCAAGATTTGGGATTAGACACACTCACTCCCCAGGAGTGTGGAATTTCTGCTTTCAGCGGAAACTCGAGGGTCACTTCAGAAATCTGCGCTTCGGAGACTGAAGAAGGGTCAACGAGTTACGGGTCGAGGCTATTTACCATACGAAACCGCTCTGGCGACATTTTCAAAGAATGCCTCGCGCAGAACCTTTCTGGCGGGCGAGCGAATGTTTTGCGGGAAGCCTTGCGGCGCCGAATTTCACCTTGACCCCCGTTGACGACAGCGCAGCCTGATACGACAGGACCTGGCATCCGTCCGTCTCTTTGAGGGCTCCTTTCTGCTAGAAGTCTCTACGAACGATCTCCGGTGCTTTCCCGCATGCCGCCATCGATTACTGTCTTTTGTTCGATTGCGTAATTACGCCGTCATTCCGATTTGAGAGCTCCGAGATCGCTCGAACAGGTCTCTCTGTTCAGTGAATGGGCTCGACGATTATCCGCCACGATAAGCGGAACGGGCGAAAAGACTGTCGGAGACCAAGATTCCAACGGTAAATGATCAGTAAACGCTGACGGCGTTCTTCGACGCGACGAGTCGAAAACAATGAGCAGGAACTTTCCGCTTGTCAGTTCGTCCTCGCCTCGAGTCCCATCGAGCCAGATGGTGTCGCCTTTTGCACCGAGCTCGAAATTGTCCACATGGCTCTTTTTCCGTCTGCGAGTTTCGTTTTGGCGGGAAGCTTCGATTCCGAGATCCGCGGCGCTTCTCCCGTTCACTTACAGATCGGGGAAAGTTTTGCTTCGGCTTGCTCTTTGTTCCGCTTCCACGGATCCCCGAACGGGCTGCACTTGCTGCACGAGACGGCTCGGGGCCGCGGCCGTCTCCATGGCCCGCGATCTCACAGCTCTCTTCGGAGAGCCGTCTCCGTCTTCTCGAGAAATCGCGTAAAATGACACAGAGCTACACAGAAGGTGCTCCGGTCGTCGACGCCGGGGTTCTCATGCGATCGTTCGCGACGCGATCTTACAGTTCGATCATTATTTATTTGCCATCGATGCGGGCGATCGAGAACAGATTGTAATGCGCATAAGTTCGGCATCACTGCGTATCGGCTCTGTCCGGTCCTGAGATTGAATACTTCGCGATCCGCATCCGACTGTATCGGCATGAAGAATACTCAGGAGCCCGAAACCCGTGCCCGAGGATGTTCTCGCCGCCCCCGGACCCCGGATCGATAGCCGATCGAACCGCGGACATAGTACCGATATCAAAACTGAAAGGTTGGCCGAAGAATGAATCGCTTACCTGGTGAATAAGTCGAGTAGCTCCTCGTTTTGTTTGAAGAGGCGTACGAACATCTCGACTCCCGTCGGCTCCATGGCACGGGCGATGGCTTTCCATGATTTTGAGATGGAGAAGATTTGACGTGTTGTGAGAGGAGAGCGCGGGTCTGGTGGAGGAGGTGGCGGAGGGTCTTCGACGTCCCCCACGCGGCCAACGCCCGCTGATCTCTCGCTACCTTTGTGGACTAGCGAGGTGACCGCTTTGCTCAGGGTGCAACCCATTCTCCACAGCCTCTTCTTCGACTTCGAGCTAGCCACGGCTGCCGTCTTGGCCACGTTGGGGATACGCAATCGACAATGACAACACCGGTCCGAACACCACTCTCTAGCTCCGCTCCCCTCGTGATCGCTCGAGGAATTCCTCTCTCTCCTTCCGTTCCTTAGGCTCAATCACTCACGCACGCACGCACGCACTCATTCACTCACTCACACCCAACGCACAAGGCCGGAGCTTCCCTTGGCGCAAAGCGTTTACGCTGCCGCTCAGACTCGTCGCTCGCTGTGCCTGGGTAGTCGTCGACAGCTGTCAGGCGTAAACGCTCGCCTGAAGTGTCGTCCTTGTTCTGGTCGGCGGCAGCGCTGCACGTACGTACGTACGGACGATGCGAGTCGCGAGGACTCAGACGGCTTGGTCTGCCTTTTTAGGCGCTCACTTCATGATGGGAGCGCCTCTCCATCTGAGCCGCGCACCCATTGAGTTGTTCAGACACTTCGTCGATGAAGGTTTCGGTGGCCACCTGGGCGCGCGGTGTCATTCTCGTGGGCGAGACTTTCCGAGTATCTTCTGGAAAGAGAAAATTTCGATATTTCAGTATACGAGCAATTGCTCGAAACTCGGAATTCTGATCCGGATCTGGAAGCCCGAAGACGATGCTTGGCCCCGTCGGGAAGCACCCGCCAAGCAAAGCGCATTTGAATAAGAATTTCCATGGAACTCCGAGCGGACAAATTCCGCGATTTGGAATTCGTCGCGACGAAAACCGATGTGTTCAAGCGGGCGACGATATCTGACTTGTGATCAAGCGAGCCGAGTCAGGCTGTCTGGAGGCGGCACGGATCGGCAAACACGGCAATGAGCTCTTCTCCTCGCTTTGAGGAAGATCAAACACTGATGGAGAAAACTCGGTGTCGTCGGAGCGCGCAGAGTATCAACGATAGCAGGTTGTGAACCCGAGAACAGCTCTCGGCTGACCGTACCTCGAGAAGGAACTTCGAACCGACCACTCGAGCGATCTATGAGACTCGGCTGGGCGGCTGGGAACGAGCAGCAGTCCCACGGGCTCCGATCATGCTGCCTCTAGGGGCGGAAATTTGAAGAGAAGATCATCTCTGATCCTCATGTCCCCATCAGCATTGCGAATAATAACTGAGTGCAATGAACGCTCCGAGTTCGTATTCAATGGAATAATTGCTCACTCGTCTGCATCGGCCATGATCCGCACGCATATTCGAACAGAACCCTCGCATGTCATTCTCGACAAAGACCTTTAATCAGGAAGAGTTCCCCGTTCATATTGTCGATGATTTCCTTCACCGATGCAGTCTGATGAGGGAGACAACTGCTCGGGAACTCGTACGCGGGCTCCGATTGTACTGACCCGCTGAACCGCATCCCTATTCTCTCTCTCTCGGGTAACGATTACGGGCTCGATTAAGTGGTCAATTACGTCTGTATCCAGCTTTCTCGTTGTTAACACATTTACGGCTGGCTGGTTTCATAACGGACCCACCTCACCGCAATGGATCTTGGCGTCCATCCAAGCCTCGTGCTAAGAGCTCCCACCGGGCAAATCTCCAGGAGTCCAAGGCTCGTCTTCCTGGACCGAAATTTCTTCAGGCCTCTCCCCCTGCCGTCCCGGCGCGAGAATCTATCGCATATCTTCTTCAAATAGATGCGCATAGCTTCGAGCCTCCCGACAAAATATGCCGACGGATCGCCGAACAGTCAGAGCGGCCCGCGCATCCGATGCATATTTGCTGTGACCACATTGAGGTTGCTTCACATCGAGGGTCGGCGCCAGCCGAATTTTTTCGGCGAAACCTCCCTCCCCCACATGGAATCTCTCCGGATCCCCTACGGAGCCCGTGGGGGAACGCCGCGCCGAGCATGGTACAGTGGCGGGAAGGACATCCCCACTGGAGACCCCACGGTCTCCGAGCAAAGACTGGAGTGGGCGCCTCGAGCCATGGTCGACTAAATTCCCGAGTCTAACCTCTGCGCTAAGGGCCGGAAGGCCCCTTGCGATCAGGGATGACAAGAGCAGGAAAAGATGAAGCAAGAGCTGGGGGAGAAAGACGTCAGAGCGGCAAAGACCTCCACAAACAGATTTTTCCGCGAATCTTCGCCATAGACGAACCGTGCTGCGGCATCTTATGGCGGAAACGGCGTGATCCACAACGATGGACGTGTTTCCCCAGAGCGTCTCGAGGTCGCAGGCAGATACCTGAACTTTCTTCAAAGCTGCATCGAGTGTTTATCCGGCCATTTCGAAGATCCCTTTGTTTTGTGTACGACGGCGGCGGAAGCGGCAGCGGCAGCAACGACGGTGCCAGGTTCTCGCCGACGATCGCCGGAAACAGTTGATGTTGGGGGAAATGTTTTTCGCCGTCGTTCTTGTTTACGCTTTCGCCGAGTCCGGACGGATATCTAAGGGCCCCCAGCTGTAATCTCGTTTGCAGAAAAGGAGCTCCATTACAAGCTTTCAGATGTCCTGGACTGATGTTGCCCATGTTTCGCTAGCTCGGTGGAACAAGGTTCTCTCAAACCGGATTCACCCGAGCTCCAAGCTCCTCGATGAACAATCTCCCACGATGACGCTCGAGTTAGTTTACTTCGAAGGAGAGTGTTTCCAGACTTGAATCAGTCCGATTCGCTCCTCAAAGCCTGAAGTCCGGCGAGACGAGACTCTCGATTCCAGAGAGCTTCCTCCCCGTGCATGCCGCGGGCGCGCGACTGAACTGGGCCATTCCGATCGAGATGTGTTGTATGTAGTCGCGTAAAGAATGGAGTCACGTCTATTTTGGCTCGCTACAACATATTTATAGCTCTGGAGGAGCTCTGAAAAATGAGAGGACGGCGATTCGAAACGCTAAAATCCAGTCGGGGCCAAGAGCCGTCGCAGAGTGGAAAGTTCAGCAAAACAAATAGCAGTAATTTCTTTCTCCGACCAGATTGATTGCAGCAATCGCGCCAGGTCGCTAACTTAGTCCGAGGGGACTCTTGGACTCGAGCGCAGAAGAAGAACAAGACAGCACAAGAGGCAATCTGGATGCGGACTTGTTTTTCGCGAGTCGGCGTTGTCGAGTTACCCTCGACGATGCAAATGCAATTCTATGGAGGAGCAGAGGACTATGAGCTAAACAAGAAGGACGTGCTGACAAGGATAGTCGACGGGGAGCTCAAGGACCGCACACTATGCCGCGGAAGCTCATTCGTCGGAAGTTCGGAGCAGCGTGTGTTGTAGCGAGTCAGTGTCGAGCCTTATTAAGGTCTAGCGGAGCTGAACTCAGCATCCTTACTTAGACTTCAGATACTCAGGGACAGCATTCGAAAGAAGAGAGATGAATCAAGAAGACTCGACACTATCCGCCGCCTCTTTTTGCCGATAGAGCCTAGAGCATTGCGGCTCACCCGGCGATCGATTCGCCAATTACTGACAAAAGAGCAGTCGTCCGAATCGAAGAATACCTGCGAGCTATATTTCGCAACGCGGGAACGCGAACGGAAAACCGAATTTGTAAGGAGGACAGCAATCTTCCGAGATGGGTTTTCCAAATCGAAGAAATCAATGTCGAAGTCGCACGAGAGTTTTTTCCGAATGATTTTTCTGAGCTCTTTCCCCTGCCCCACGAACGTGCCCCGCATCGTCAAGTTCCGGAGAATGTGGTATTCGGGCGGCCTGGACGACTTCAAAATCGAAATGGCGTAGACGTCCCGTCAACTGTCGCTAGGCTGAACGGCGAGAAAGCAGGGGGTTGCGGGTGCAGACAGCGAGGGTGGCTAGCCGCCAGACAGGCAGGCAGAAAGGAAGGACGGCAACCACACGACTCGACTAACAGCAATCTCCATGGAGAAGCTTAGCTGTTTCCGGAGGAAACATTCTCGATTTGAAGGAGAACTCAACCGCTTTTCGTTCATCTTTTCGAGTCTATTTCGGATGAGCCTCTGATGCGGAACCGAAAGGCTGTTGTTCGGGGAGATTCTCCTCGGGTCCTTCTCACTTTGAGTGCGACGTGGACGAACCCACAAGGGGCAGGACGAAAGCCCAGTTTTCCACTTCGGGTTCCCGTCGAGTGAGTTCCGTCATCTTGAAACGCTGCGGAGTCGCGAGCCGGCAACTCGCGAAGACGTTTCCAGACCCATCTCCTTCATTCCTCTTCGGCGACAGTCACAAACGATTGCTTCATTATGCCAAGGAGAAAACATAGGAAAACATCGACGGGACCTTTCCGCATCTCTCGTCGTCCCAGACTTATGGAACACGCGACTAAACGCGGAGCACTCGCTAATCGTCACAGCGCCCAAGCTTCGTTCACAAGGAAACGAACTTTCAGATCTGGGTCGATCGATGGCTTTTCCAAAATTCGCCGAGGATGCCGACGACATTACTCATCCCGCGCGTGCTATCGTTCTCGCAATCGCTGTTTCCTCGTTCATGGTACGGTTTTCCAGACTTGAAGAATGCCTGTGTGATCATGTTGGGAATCCGAGCCCGATCTTGGCTGGCTCCTCTCCAATTCCATGATTAGGCACAATCATTGTGATGAACACGGAGACCCCCTCCTCAGAGTTAGCCGCTCTCGAGCAACTCGAAATTACCTGTCGATGGCTCGGGGAAACATTGTCGTCTCCCTCGCTATAATCGCCCAAGCCATAGTGGATGAGGCTCGAGCTAATTTCGAGTAGCTACATATAAGATCAGATAACACCTTATCTCGCGAGAGCAATTAAGTAAATTGCGGCAACACCACTTTCAATGAGTGTGCTAATCGAATACCCAGTGTCAATTAGATCACATAGTAGTGGGTGCACTCTCACGTTCTATGCGTTCGACGCATGGCACGCGGGGAGCTCCTCGCTAACGAACCTCACTACGGGGTCGACGAAAATGAAGAAAAAAACACGAGACCTGGTGACCCCGCTGCTTCGGGCGAAATAGCCCAGAAATGAACCTCAGGTTCACCGAATTAAATGATCTCTATCATCATCTCTATCCATCCGAATTTTCAGGAGCTCTCCGGTTGGTGCTTTGTTCAGCCGACATTGACGATTTCAGTATGTCTACATTGTTACGGCAATCTCCATGAGCGCTCGAATGAATAGCTGATATGAGGCGGCGATCAGAGCTGGGATGATAATCGCATTTTTGTCGAGACCTTCCGCGGAAAGTTGACGACGGTTGCGCTGAACCTTGGGCGACCGACTTCGCTGCCGGTGGCGCCAATCGTCTGTGGAGACGTCATCCGCGCATAAAACTACCGCGTCATTGTCTGATATCGAACCTGGACTAGGTCCGCCTCGAAAGGTGCGTCCCCGCTCCACCAGGCATTCCGATGCTG